GGCGGAGCTGCCCCGTCGCCCCCTGCCCCTGACGGGAGGGTCTCGGAAGGGATGAGGGAGGACCGGGGCGGCGGACCGGGGAGTGGTGCGGCGGTAGCAGGATAAAATCTGCGGGCAAAGTCCGGGCTCGCCCGGGCTGGAGCAGCGGAGGAGCCGGGCTGCGCTGAGTTGCCAGGAAAGGGTGATACTCTCCAACTTCTCCGTCTGCAGATGCAAACTCTTCCCATTGACTCCAGCGAAGTTACATCTGCTTATAACAGGGCTAAATTTGGTTGTGGAGTTGATGGTATCAAGGCACATGTCAGTGAGTAATGAACTAAGCATTACCCATCACACAACCATATAGTGTCACTCTTCATTAACAAACCCAAGCGAAAATGTACATGCCTTCCCAGGACCTCACTTTTAAAGCTCACTCTTAAAAGAGATGCGTTATCTTAAAAAAAAAATCCCTCTTTACTTAAACTCACAAAATTATTGCTGTTAGAAAGAGGAACTTTTTGAAAAGTGGGCTGTTCTAAAGAAAAGTCTCAGGCAGTGATGTAAAGCTACTTCTCTTTTGTCTCCTTGGATTTTTAACGTACAAAATGGAAGTTGGCTTTGTTCACTTGTGAGAGCCTCTGAACTTTTGTGATTAGAATCACTAGTTTAGAGAACCAAAATCACGATAGGAAGAAGTAGAACTCTAATGAGTTAAGGGAATTTTAAAGCAGAAATGGGTGCATGGATGCATGCTCCATCTTCAGTTATATATGTTACAATTAAATCATATGTAATGTGTTAATTGAATTTAGCGTTTCCCATTAACTCCAGTAAGTACATGTCTTGTTTTCCCGGGGGAGTTTGTAGAGGAAATGTTAGGTGGTGATGAGACAAGTATGAATGGAGTATTTCCTGGATCAGAGATTAATCCTGCACAGGTGGCAGGATCTCTAGGAGTTTGGTGAAGATTTCAAAGTTTGAATTAGGAGTAGCATCTCAAGTTTACCAAGTTACCTTGCCTTACAGTCATCATCTACTGTTGCTTTCTCTAAATGAAAAAAATCGCTATAGATTTCTGCCTGTATTATTTTTTAATACTTGCTCTGTTTCTCTTTACCGAGAAGTTTCCTAATCTTTCTTAGAGAAAAAGAACTAAAAAAAAAAAACAAAAAAAAAAA